TGTTCCCCTTCCCCCAATTCCCCAGCACTGTTCCCATCCCCAATTCCCCAATAAAAAATAAAAAAAATCTTAAAAAAATAAATAAATAAAATAAACTTTATTTAGAATTAAAAGAGAGAAAAAGGCAAGTGAAGTAAAAAGATTTAAGATTGAATACTGTGATATTTTTTCAACTGCCACATGTGAAACATAACTCCCTTAAAGCTTCATTCTACTGGGGTACCCAATGAAGTGGCAAACACACTGCATATCCCATGACCTGCTGGACTCACCCACCTCCACTTGCCTATAAATCATTGCTTTCTTCTGAGAGCCATCACTGAGTGCTTTGAAAATCCTGCTCAGACTGTACTGTTGAGGCTGGTGGTGCTGGCCATACAAGAATATAGGAAGAGAAGTACAACTAATATAGAAGCAAATATGTATATGAGGTCTGACAATTAAGTTCACAAACTTTGTTGTAACAATATTGCTAAGCTTTTTTTGCTATCAGAGGTATTATTCATTATGAATTTGTGCCAACTGGACAAACAGTTAACCAAGTTTACTATTTGGAAGTGCTGAAAAGGCAACATGAAAAAGTTAGACAGCCTGAACTTTTTGCCAACAATTCATGGCTCTTGCATCACGACAATTCACCAGCTGACTCAGCACTGTCTGTGATGAATTTTTTTAGTCAGTAAACAAATAACTGTATTAGGACACCCTCCCTTCTCCCCTGATCTGGCCCCCAATGACTTTTTTCTTTACCTGAAGATAAAGGAAATATTGAAAGGAATACATTTGGATGACATTCAGGACATCAAGGATAATACAACAGCTCTGATGGCCATTTCAGAAAAAGAGTTCCAAAATTGCTTTGAAGGGTGGACTAGACACTGGCATTGGTGCATAGCTTCCCAAAGGGAGAACTTCAAAGGTGACCACAGTGATATTCAGCAATGAGATATGTAGCACTTTTTCTAGGATGAGTTCGTGAACTTAATTGACAGTCGTCGTATGTATTATTAGATGGCCATAGTAGTATAGGGAAAAGTAACCTTGGGTAAGAAATAGAAAAAGTAGTTGTTTGAAGGTTGGAGTTGCCGTTTTA